ATGAGAATCAAATCCATCATTAAGACGTTTTAAACTTTAAATTGTTACTTCTGGCTAAAATGCGAGTCCTCTCTCCATAATATTGCTTTCTCCAGTGAAAAAGTCATTTAGTCTGAATCAGGAGATGAATGTGAAAACAGTCCACAACAGTTGTAAACAAACATGTGGGTGGATTTTGATGTGAGAGGACAACAGGAGATGGACTTTTTCACTGGACGAAGCATTATTATGGATTATTAGCTGGAAGCGATGGTTTGAAGTTAAAAACATCTTAATGATGGATTTGTTTCTTACAAACACAGCTTTTCGCTTCACAAGACATTAACTGATGGACTGGAGTGGTGTGGATTACTTGTGGATTATTGTGATGTTTTTATCAGCTGTTTGGACTCTCATTCTGACGGCACCCATTCACTCCAGAGGATCCACTGGTGAGCAAGTGATGTAATGCTACATTTCTCCAAATCTGTTCTGATGAAGAAAAAAAAAACATCTTCATTTTTGGATGTCCTGAGGGTTTCATTTTTGGGTGAACTGTTCCTTTAACCCATGTTTTGCTACCATGACTCATGTTTCCATCCTCTGTATCTCTCAGAGAAGAGATATACTACAAGTCTGTCCATGGAACGGCAGTCATTTTCCTCCAAAACAACGCTGGCTTTAGCAAATGGGAGCCCACCACGGAGAGAATCCAGGAGTTCCTGGCAGCGTATAAGATCTCCGGCCGTTCATTGCCCTCACCTGGTCCTCCTTCCACCAGTACAGGAGACAAAGACTCCAAACCGGTCCAGGAGCGCTTGGCTAAGAGTCAAGACAACAGCAGTCCTGTTGACAAGACTGCACCGGACACAACAAACATTTAGACCGCGGCGCTGGCGTGTGGCCACGTGTATGTATGTATGTTCATGGGAAAGAGTCTATGATTGTATGAGAGGTTTATTATTGTGCTGTTGGGTTTAGATGAGCACTGGGCATGTAAATGTTCACGCTAGAAGAAGAAAGACTCATGTTTGTTTACTTCCTCTATTTTTTTTATATTATTTGTTTTAGGTTTTTGAGTTATGTTATCATAATTGTTGGGTTTTATATCAGTGTATTGATAGTTTGGTCACTTTTATGTTGTCTTTTTTTAAGAGATGATCAGTGTAGTAGAGTATATCTTATTCTTTTCTTTTTCTTTTTTTTTGACCTTTTAAGGGTGAATCTCATTGAAATGTGTCATATTTCACACCAAGATCGAAAGAAAAATATTTTGCATAAAGCAAAAGCAGAAAGCCTTTTAAGCTTTCCATTAGCATTTTTTCAACAATTAAGCAAGTTTTGTAGTTGTAAATGGTGATTAAACTTATTACATTTTTATTTGTTATACAGTATTTACTGTATTACAGTTAAAAAGTTACTATTACAATGATATTTAAAAGATCAAATCAGAATAAATTCAACACAATGCAACTTAATTGTATTGGGTTATCTTAACCACCTTAATATATTTTGCATTACAGTAGTAAATTATTATTATTTTTTTGCAATATGGTATATAAAAATAATGTAAAAAAAAAAGAAAAAAGAATGGTCTTCAAATAGGTTTCATTTTCTTTTATGCAAAATAAAATAGCATATTTCTTTGTTGATTTTGTGTTGAAATTAGACAAACTTTGTGATATTCACCCTTTAATTCTGTGCTTTTCCCACTGGCAGGATTACGAAGCTGTCAATGAGTTGATGCACCGATGCTTGTATATTGTTGTTTTAGATGATTCAGAAGATGATCGGCGATCAGGCAGCTATGTTTAAATGCCTTCATCATGACATGCATCATTGTTAGGGCTTCTCGAAGCAGTCGTCGGTTCCCATTCATAGACGTTCCTTTCTGAGTTGAGAGGTCATGTTTGGTTGCTTCATGTCAGAATATATACTGTACGTAATAACAAAAGTTCAGTAAAAAAGCTGAAAAATATTTATAATCTAGTTTCCACCTAGTCATCCATCTGCAGTGAAAGCCAGTCCTTTTTCTTGTCTTTTTAAAATATTGTACAGAACACAATAACAAATCTGAAATTTTCTACATTGATTGCGTTCTTCGTTTCTGTACAGCACAAGCCTGTGTGAACCAAGTCCTAATGTGGCATTCTGGGTCACATCGATTCTAGCATTTAGGCCTAGCAATTGGAAAAAGCTAAGTAAAATTTCTTATTAGTTATGAAAGCATTATTCCAGATGTTTGTAGCGTGTTATTGAGAATGAATTAGCTCGTAAATATGGCGTAGGCCCCTCGTTTTTCTCCAGTGAGTCTACCTCTCATTTCGGGTGTTTTATAATTCAAACGAAGCAGTAAATGAGTGGCTTATTCCTTTAATAACTGCATTGGCGTCCAGTTATTAGAATTGGTAGCTATTGCCTTGATTTCACCATTTCGTGTATGTGAAAAGTGCTTTAAAAGTCGACTTTTTTTGTTTTTTATTCTAATCATAGAAATTTGTTTACATGATATTGGTTTAAATTGTATCACTGGGCAGCGTTTTGAATGTACATTTTAAAAAAAGGAAAAGAGAAACGTTATTGATGGATTTGTTGCTACAATTGGACTTGAAATGTTGCGATTATCAACACTACAATAGTGGACCTTTATTTTTTGTTTGTTTTTGCCCTGCTAATACGTATGTAGGAATTCATATTGTATACTAACACTTTATTAAGCCCAATCACTTCCATCTGTAAGAAAGTATAGGTTTGTTTGGTTGTTTTTATGCAGTGGACTACATTGTCTTGTAGCCAAACTTGGGAAATGGCTTTTATATTAAGTTTAAAAGCATTCCAGTGGTTTGACGTGTAATGTAACCCAGCTTGCCATTTATAAAATCCAATATAACCCTTGGTAAGTATTGGGGAGTTGTTGGATTTCTTAATCCCAGAGTGGATCACCAGCAAAACTGTAGATGTTGTACAGAACATGGCTATGAAGTTTGTCGCCTTCCTACACTGCTGTTGTGCGTTTATTTGGAAAGAATACAAAAGAGGTCTCTTTCACCATGCTTTTTTTGTTGGTTTTAATTTAACGTTTTGGTTCTAAATAACTTTATGAATTATAGAATTTATGAAATCGTTGTTTTAAACTAAACCAAAGTGTTATTAAAAGAGGAGGAATTTATCTTGTATCTTAAAGTAGAGTCGTGTACGGCCGCGTCAGTAATGCATAAAGTGTAACCAGCAAAAACATCCAGTTATCCATAACTTTTTATTTTTATAATTCTCTTTTTGTTCTTTGTTTTCCTACAAAGGTATGTTTGGGTTTTTATTTGGCATGACCTGATATTTTTCATTACAAAAAAACCCCACAAATTGTACAGATCTGTATCGTTTAATTAGTCGTACACTTTGCCACACTAGACTTTTAACCGATTTGTATTTATCAGTCATGTTGATTGATTTATATTTGGTTGCCATTGCGTTTGTTGATTCAGTGTCCTCTAAAATGCCATGAATGTCTCCCCTGTAATATTATTCTGATAAAGACAAAGATTCAGTGAATGTAAATATGTCTGTGCTTATATGTTTCTTCTTCCTGTATATTATCAGTGTTGTGGCATCTCCCATCACCTAAAGTGGTATAAAGATTTTCCTCTGAATCAGAAAAGCTCTCAGTAAAATATTGAAATCACGCACCCATCTCTGGCATTTGTTATTATTATATTTATTGTACATATTTGCTATTTAAGGAACTCTGAAACAGCTTAAAATCTGCTGAAATTGCACGGTTACGCTAACAAAATGTGCCATGGTATTACCTTTGTGTATTTTGGACGCAGTGCCATGGTAATACCATGTTTTATGTGTATCTGGTATAATTTGGAGTATTGTGCAATACCATGGTACATAAATATGGTAATCGTTTAGAATCATGGTATACGTAGAATCGTCCTTTTATCGAACATCCTTGGAAATAAGTATATTATTTGAAAAATAAAATAGTTTGTACTTTTTAAATTTGGAATATAACAACTATTTATCTGGACGTAAATTTCGCCTCAAACAATCATCTTCCGTGCCACAACAATGATGGCCGCTCGCTCCGTGTAAAGCGTGACCACGCCCATTGTGTGGATGCGCATGCGCACTACCGATCTTGGACTTTTATTTTGAAATTCGCCACAGAAAGCGCAAAAGCCGATTATGATCAGAGTTGCCAAATCCGCGTATTATACGCGACTTTGGGTTTATTTTTTTGTGAAGTTGCGTGAAAAAATCCCGAGTTGCGGTTTTTTGGGTTTATTTTAAAAAATATGGTTGCTTGTTAGGAAAACCTGACAAGCAACTTCGTTTCTTTTCATTTATGTTCACTGTATTCTCCAATGCATTGATTGACACTCTGTCTGCTCACAGTTAATAGCCAATCAGTGCAAAAATATAAGCGCTGTAGCGTAATTTGTCAAATATTCCGCCCCCTCCGCACGCGCCATTTTTTAGAAGGCGCGTGACGCTGTAATCCAAGCGATGATAGTAGTAACGTTAGACATAGAGGAGTGGGATTACTGTTTTCCTTTATAAAGCAGTCTAATTTTTACAATGTTTTGTAATGTATAAATTATCACGGGCTGTAAAAACAAAACAAAAAAACAAGTAGGCCTATACAAATACTAAGAGTAGATTTGGTTCGAATAGCCAATATTTTAGTAGGCTATAAATATGTGGCTATGTTACAGCTCCCCTTTGAAGCTCTAGTGTTTTTCTCCTTTTCCATCGGTGCAATCAATTTCTGCTCACAGGTGATTGGAGATGAGTTTTGTTCCTGCTTTGTTGCAGTTTGCTGATTTTTGTAAAATAACTTATGTTTTTGCTTTTCAGATAAAAGTTTAATATGTTGCGGGCTCATTTATTGGTAATACATAATTGATAATAAATAATATTGATGATGATAAAATATCCAAAAATATTGGGCTTGTTTTTGAAGCTGCGGTTGCTTATTTATCTCGCGAGAGTTGGCAACAGTGATTATGATTTTGTTTACGTCACGGCATTGTTGAGCTTGAGGAAGCGACTGACAAGTCATCGAGCTGTCGAACTTCGACAAACAGTGCTTTTTCCTGATTATTTCATTGTTTCTAAACGCGCGCCGTTAAGCCTGTTTTTCTCAATGCACATCTGTAGTAAAGTTTAAAGGGTCAGAATTAGCTCGCTAGCTTTCTGACTGCATTGAGTTGCTTGCTGTCAGCTCGCAGCGGTGAAGTGCACACTTATCGTTCAGGATCAAGAAACCCCTGGAGCGTTCCTATCGATCTGCATCGATCCGCTGAGGATTAATTGGTAGTGAGTGATGGGGGCCCAGAGGAGTGAGGGACGCAGAGACTGGCTCCAGCAGGATTTCACCGAGCAGCAGGTCCAGACAGTGGTGAGTCAAACTCGTGTCATCAGCTTCATTCTCTATATGCACCATAAGTGAGCATGAAACCTGCCAAGAACATTTCCAGGTCACATTCACCCCAAAAATGTATAAAAGAAAATATATTTGCCACAAAGAAAACTAAGCCTGTTTTTAGGACAATTAACAATTTTGCACTGTAACATAATTTTCTTGACAATTAAGCACATTATATATTTATATATATATATATTTTTTTTAACAAAATAGTTTAGTGCTTCAAGTGTAATGTATTTATTACCTTTATTTTTTTTTAAAAACTACTTTTATCTATCTATCTATCTATAAATCTATCTGTAAATCAAAATGCTGAGTACTAAATTGTTGCACTGGTTGTCAAACCATCCTTGCAATTACATGCAATTATTTGCAATTATAAATTAAGCATTTTATTATATTATGCCATGCAAGAGGGCTGTCCTGATTGGATCTTGGTTGTTGCATCCTTCTTTATGACCATTTTCACTTCATCTGGATGTTGTGAAAATGTTTTCCTGAATGGCAGAATCCCTGGAACATCATGATCAAACACAGACAGGTTCATCGCAGAGGACGACGCTCACAGATGACGGTTAGGTAAGTCCATAAATGTGCATTTCAAGATTGATGAAGTGCGTGATTTGTTTTCATTTGTTAAACTACTATAATCTCAGGTTAGTTGACATTTGTGGCTCTTTCAAAACGTCACTATGTTTGATTGAGCGTGTCATTGTGTGAAGTTACACAGATCCTGTCATTTCCATGGATCTTCTGCGAACTGTTCTGCAGCCCAGCTTTAACGAAGATATCCGTGCTGTGTTCAGAAAATATATGAAGGTGATTGATCGATCATGTTATTTTTTTGGGACTTGTTATGTGTGATTAAATTGCTCTGATCGTGTGTTTTACTCTTTTCTTTGTGCAGTTTTTTGAGAAAGCGGCCAGCAATGTGAAAGAGAATGTTGGAGGAGATGTCCAGCCTGACCAGCTTATCAGAGATGCCTGCAGAAGCTGCCTGGAACATGTAAATCATGATTTATACATATTTTTACACAAAAAAAACATATATATATATATATATATATATATAATTTTTTTTTTTTTTAAATATACATGCAACAATTTGTGGTAAATCAACCTTTATGTTAAATGTTCAGTATTTTTCTGAGAATTCATTAAGCTTTTTCTGTTCATGTGGAGGTAGCGGTAATATCTTTTGTGTCTCAGTATGCCGCTGATGCTCAGGACAAACACTGGCTTTCAGAAAGACAGCACATGAGAGCTACCGGTGGAAAGATGGTGAGGACGTTGTGTTTGTGTTTCCAAAACATGTTAAAGGAATAATTCACCCAAAAATTACAATTTGCTGAAAAATGATTTACCTTCAGGGCATTCAAGATGTAGATGAGTTTGTTTCTTCATCATCTCAGCAATGGATGTTCTATCCACACCACTCCAGTCCATCAGTTAATGTCTTGTGAAGCAAAAGTCTGCGTGTTTTTAAGCATGTTTTACTTAAAACCATTACTTCCGGTCTAAAATAGGAGTCCTCTATCCATAATATTGCTTTCTCCAGTAAAAAAGTAATCTGGTCTGAATCAGGAGTGAAATCTGCACAGATCAAGCACCGTTAACAACAAAAAAACAGGTGTAAACCAATATGTGGGTGGATTTTGATGCGAGAGGACAACAGGAGATGGACTTTTTCACTGGACGAAGAGTTATTATGGATTATGGTATTTTGGCCAGAAGCGACAGATTAAAGTTAAAACGTCTTGATGGATTTGATTCTCATAAACATGCAGTTTTTCGCTTCATAAGATGTTAACTGATGGACTGGAGTGGTGTGGATTACTTGTGGATTATTGTGATGTTTTTATCAGCTGTTTGAACTCTCATTCTGACGGCACCCATTCACTGCAGAGCATCCACTGGTGAGACAGTGATGTAATGCTACATTTCTCCAAATCTGATGAAGAAACAAACTCATCTACATCTTGGATGGCCTGAGGGTAGTACATTTTGAGCAAATTTTCATTTTTGGTTGAACTATTCCCAAAAATGAAGCATTAAATAATGATTTATCGTCATCTTCTCGTTTCTCTTCTCAGGCCTATCTGCTTATAGAAGAGGATATTCTTGGTCTTGCCCGAAGTGAAGACTACAAGTAAATAAAAATGTTCTTACTAAATAAAACTTAATAAAGACTGATGAAAGAATTTTACAGACAACATGCATCACAATATTTTCTCTGAATCTTAGGGACTGCCCTGACTTGAAGCTGGATGAATTGAAACCATTTCTAGTGCCCTTGTGGATGGTGGAGAAAATGCAGAAAGCAATGGACGCACAGAAAACCGAAAATGATCTTGTCATGTAATACCAACCTCGTCAGGCAAGTCATTGGACCACGGACACTCTTGAGTGTTACCAATTTAACATAACTAACTTTTTGTTGTTTATTTTGTTTGTGCGATGTTCACGGTAGACCCAGGCATTATGATCAAGTTGCCCAGAAATTGTTCTGTTGGAGGTTTACTTGCCAAATCATTTCAATTAATTTTAATGTGCAATTGTCTAAACTGGTCTAGATCTAATTTCTTTTTTTCTATCATCAAATGTGTGCTTTTTTTCATGACTTTGTATTTAAAAGACTTAAATATCTAATGAGGCACATATAGACCCTTAATGATTTTTAAAATACTGTGGTTAATGGATGTTTGTTTTTGTGTTTCCCATGATCCTTTGTCCTATTTTTTTTAACAAATTAATTTTATGAATTTTGTTCATCATATATGCTTTAAAATGGAATTTATTTGGCTATTTTCATTTCTCTCTTTTTAAATGTATTGCTTTGTTCTAAAGAACAAAAACAAAAGAAGCTACTTCCTCTTGCAGCAGAACTATACAACGAGCCTGATATTTTTACATTTATAGTATCTTTTGTAAATGGAATTTTTTTTTTTTAAATGCAAGGAATTTTTTTTTATTTGACTGGTTTTGTAGCTTATTAAAAAGTGTGTGTGTGTCTCTCACCTACTGTCTGTTATAACTGAAAATGTAGAACAGTTTATTAATGTATGCAAGTATATTTACCAATAAACTGTTTTTATGCAACGTGGTGTTTTTAAATGAATACTCAAATTACAACTAGTAAAAGTACTTGGTTTGATGCACTGAAAAGAATGAAACAACTAGTCAACGGTTATGGATACGCCTACCTTACTGTATTACCCAATCAAATCAAAGTGTTTCGTGCCTAGCATCAGTGCTCATTGGTTGCTGTGCAATCGCTTTGTTCGTAATCCGTGCTTCTGATTGGTTGAAATGACGGTTGGGCGGAGAATTTTAAACGGAAAGTTTAAACGGGGGCGGGATGTGATTTAAAATTTCGTACAGCAGACAGTTGGTTAGTGCTGTCGATTGCACTGAACACAGCCGGTAAAGTACATATTTAAGCATTACTGCTTTTAATGTATGTATCGAGATGATTTATATAGGTTTTATTGTTATGTTGCGGTATAGTTAGGTTGTTTATATAATTTAATAAGCGCATTTGCTAACTCGATACCTTAACAAGTGTCCATTTGTTGCCGTTGAATTTATTTCAGCTTTCGGTGACATAGATGCGCATTCTTTTAATCGTAACGCTTCTATTTATGCACGTCGATTTGTTTAGGTTATCACTGCCTGCTTTATTATGAGTAAGTTAGGCCTATAGCCGTTTACCTCCAGCCAAATCAGAACCGTTTACCACACGAGGACGAAATCGAAGCGAATTCGTTTCAGCCTCCAGTTTCCATTCACTCGGTTCAGTTTCCATCTGCCGGTTAGTTTAGCTAGGTTGACATGAAGCTCATTAACGCAAAGTATACAACTCGTTCTGTGTCGTAAACCGTTTTTACTGCTGTGACAAAAAACTGTTCCTCCTGTCAAACATCGCAGATCTGACGCGATGGCCTCTCAGAACATGGATCCCGCAGCAGCCTCGTCGACAGCAGCGCTGAAGGGCAGCGAGACGAGCGGAAGCGTGTCGAAAGGTTCCGTCACTAAAAGGTTTGATTGCCGATATTCGTTTTAAATGTACTGAACGTTTCTATGTGCCACACACTGGCCGTTCTCAGAAAGAAATGCATGTAGGATTCCTTTCTATTGGGATTTATTTCAGAACTAAGTTCTAACGGGATCAAATAAAACTACAATTCCTACAGGCTTGTTTATTCTTTTTTTGATTCAGCTGGCCTGGAAACAATGTGTTCTTAATCAGAACTGTATTTGTATTGAAATATGTGACCCTGGACCACAAAATCAGTCTTAAGTGTCAAATTTTCGAAATTGAGATTTATACATCATCTGAAAGCTTAATAAATAAGTTTTTCCATTGATGTATGATTTGTTAGGATATGACAATATTTGGCCGAGATACAACTATTTGAAAATCTGGAATCTGAGGGTGCAAAAAAACAAAATATTGAGAAAATCGGCAGCTCACGTTAAGCCGGGGCTTCCGCTAGGCCGGTGTGTTTTTCGTTGTGAAAGCGAAATTACTTTGTTTGGTCTTCCAATACCCCAGCGACTTAAGACCGCTTTTGTGCTCCAGGGTCACATATTGTGTATTGTACTGGAATTAAACCATATCAATAGAGTCCTGCTCTTCCCAATGTCAGTACAGTTGTTTATTTAACTTGTAATAAAGGCAGAATCACAAGTTAATATTGATTAATTTACATTTCTGATAAAATTGTACAGTTGTGGTGTATTGTACTGGAATTAAATATCAATAGAGTCCTGCTCTTCCCAATGTCAGTACAGTTGTTTATTTAACTTGCAATAAAGGCAGAATCACAAGTTAATATTGATTAATTTACATTTCTGATAAAATTGTACAGTTGTGGTTTGTATCATTTATTATTATTATTATTATTATTCCCGATTCTGTCAACCAAAATGGTTCCAGAAGTATTTTGCAGGTAATCAAGCAATACACAGATTCTCTTTTCATGTTAAAGAAATCACCCTGGGGTTTATAAATGTGTTGTGATGTCCAACAGGGACATTTATGTTATTGGTATTCATAATTGAGAGCTAGAAAGTACTGTAGTTTCAGTGGGGTGCTAGTAATTTGTTTCACTGCTGTTAATAGCATTTTTCATTCATTTTGGCATCTGCAATGACCAAGTCTGGCATCTTATTTTTTTGTAAGTTTTGTGCTTGCATTTGTTCTTTTTTTTTTTTTTTTTTTTTTTTTTCACAACATTCATTTTGGCATCTGCAATGACCAAGTCTAGCACAATTAAATTCACAATTATGTTCAGTGTCTCCCCTTTCCCTCCGTAGGCTTCAGCAAGAGTTGATGACACTAATGGTGAGGACTCTGTATACAGAAGGTTATGTTTGGTCTCTTTAACTGTAGTTTGTTAACTTAGTTCTTTATGTCCAATGCAGATGTCAGGAGACAAGGGGATTTCAGCGTTTCCAGAGTCTGACAATCTCTTCAAATGGATTGGCACAATAGATGGTGCTCAAGGAACGGTAGGAACAACTGTTGTTTTCTTCCCCCTGATGTCAGGGTATGGGATTCTTACATACAACATAGTAATCTAGATAATTAGAAGATTCTACTTAAATTATATATTTTTTTTTTCTCCCTGATTAGGTTTATGAAGGTTTGAGGTACAAACTTTCACTGGAGTTTCCTAGCGGGTACCCCTACAATGCCCCTCGGGTGAAATTCATCACTGCTTGTTTCCATCCAAATGTCGATGAGAATGGTTTCATCTGCCTAGACATTTTGAAGGACAAGTGGTCTGCACTATATGATGTTCGCTCCATTCTATTGTCCATTCAGAGTCTATTAGGAGGTAGGTTATTCTTTTGACACGAGTAGTGCTGAGCAAAATTCAGAAACTTGGTTCACTTTCGGTTCATGAGTTGGAATTTGGCCACAACCTGCAGGATGTTTAAGTAAGGGATAATCAACTGTTTGCCGTGCATTAAAGAATTTTAAATGCACAACGTGGAGGCAAAGAACCACATTTAAAATCCTTTAATGCACGGCAAGCCATTGATTATCCCGCTTATTCCATGGTCATTTTCCAAGTTATAGATAAGTTAAAACTAGTATTGCTCTTTGCAGTGCAAAGTAAAAATTAATAAGTAATACACTACATCGGGCAGGACATCCAAACTCTCGCCTATCATTCATCGACCTCAAATATGACTTATCATCTGAAATATGTAAGTATTAGCAACTTTACATGGCCGCTCAATCTAATG